CCCCCCAAAAATAGAAATTATCTCCTTGGATGTAGGAACTACGCTTCAACTAGCTAACTGTGATCAATCTAGCCCAGCAACTATAAATTTAGACAGACAACCAAGAACCTTCAAATATTTGAGCAAAATCAACAGAAAGACCACCAAAACCAAATAACAGAAAAATTAACTTCACAGTGTCAGATAGTATAGAAAATAGAAGAAATTTTCAAATACATTTTTGGCAAGGTTTATCCATTTATAAACAGCAGGCTTCTCTGAAAAAGAAGCAACAGAGTTCTTAGAAATGTAAAATACCATGGCCATTTTTATAAAGTCCAATGGATGGGTTGAGGTTATAATTAAAAGCAGTAAATCAAATCAAGGGAGTCTCCCAGAGTACAGTGTATAAGGATAAGAGTAGGAGACAAAAACTAAAAAACATGCAGATTAGATTCAGTGGTTCCAGTATCATATTTAGTGGGGCTTCAGAGGGAGAGAACAGAGAAAATGGACTTGAGGAAATAATTAAAGAAATAAAAGAGAAAATGTTTACTGAGCTGAGGAAAGATGACTCTTCCGGTTGTAAAATCCAGCAAGTATCAAATGGTAATAATCAAAGGACATAAAAAAGATGAAGACTGGTAAAATCTCTGAACAACAACAATAAAAGCTTCCTGAGAAGTAACAAAAACGTTACTTGCCAAGAAATGAGAATTTGACTGACATCATAATTCTTGTCCACAACATGGGATGTCAAAAGACAACAAATTTTTTAAAGTCTCTAAATTCTATGGTTACATTTCTCATGGAAGTGTAAATTGATACAAACTTTATTGCTGGCAATTTAGCAGTAACTATCAAAATTAAACAAAGAATGCACATACACCTTGACCCTGCAGCTCCACTCCTGGGAATTCACCCTACAGGTATATTTGCACAGGTACAAAATGATAAACATAAAAGCATAGTGATTGGGCCAACTAGAGGAAGCCCCAACAAACCTTGATAAGTTATTTTTTCTTAATAGCCACTCTCCTTCCCTCTCCCTCTTTTACTTCCTTCATAACCTCAGAGGTCCAACAAGCTGACTACAACAATAACTGTTCCCCTCCTACCAATCTAAGGCTCCCAGACTCTCCTTTCCCTAAACAATTTCACATGTGTTTATATCTACAGGCAAGGTAATGATATATCTTAGTATTTGTGGGAGCATTTTTATGTATGCCAAAATATTCCTCATTCAAAGGTAACTAGGACTACTAGAGGATGTCAAACTGGAAGATTCCAGAAGTTGTTTCTCATATTAAAGAAAGGTGCATTTTTTCCTCTCTAAATTCACAACTTTCTTAAGGAACCTTACAAAAAAGGTCTGTTACAGGTAGCCCTAGATGTGTAATATGTAGCTAGAAGTAGTCCATCAGAAAGGAGAAAAGAGAACAAGTATTAGATGAGAAAAGAGACAAAGAAGAGAGTTTGAAAATTAAGTCTACGAACTACAGGTTGCCTGGAAAGAGTAGGAGGGTCTCCTCTATGAGCTCAGCGTGGGTCTGTTTTAAGCTAATTCAAAACCCTTCCAAATGAGCTTATTAGATTCTAATTTGATGGCTCTGAACCTAATAAGAATTCAGATCAAACTGTTCTTTCTCAAAGAGACAGCACTGTCAAAGAGCCAAAATTGGAGTGGGTGTTTGGGGGATTGGGTTATACAGCTTTCACATTATGATTCACCTCTCTACCAGCAAACCCTTCCCCCATGTCAATAGCATCTGTCATACATTTTTATTCAAATTCCTCACCACTAAGGGCAATCATAAGCTGAAGAGATGCTCCTACAGAAGTGACCTCAACAAAAATAGAAGTCAATAACATGGCCAGCTGACACAGAGGATGTCAGAAAGTGCAAAATGATGGCAAAGAAAAAAGGCAAAACTGTGTAAGGCAGTAGAAAAGGAAACAATCACAGGCCAGGATGAAAAATTAGGGCAATTATCTGGATAATTCAGCCTCAAAACTCGCTTCCTGATGATTGACATAAATGTGTTTCCTTCTCTGGGCTCCATTTTCACAATAGATGGAACATTGGAGCTGCAATAACGGCTTTCTATTCTCCATCACTGCTATTTACAAGAAATTTAAAGGAAATATACCTTCTTTTTACTCCTACTTGAAACTTTATATCTGATGTGAGGGAATGTTTTATAAATATGATGCTACCTGAAAGTTTGGCTTAGAAAGAAAATAAAATTATTTCTTGCCTGGATTGTTTCTTGCCTGTGTTATCTAAATGTTGGTACCAATTCTTCACTTCAGTAGACTTCTGGAATTGAGTTGACAGAAGTTATCCATTCAGAACCAACTTATGGATCATAATAAGTGGGGTAGTGAATCAGACCCACTGGCACTCAAGTAGAATAAAGGATATAGACATATACAGGTCTCCAGGACATATACAACAAAGTGGAAAAAATAAACTGCCTAAACAGAACATAAGAAATCTTTCATTTCTGTTTGAGTCAAATGACACCCTAGCATCTACAGTGATTATATGAGTATGGAAATAAATGTCCTTTCTTCTCTTTTAGGCACTCAAGATGTACACACTCCAGTAAACCACTGACATTCTCAGATTTTAAATTAACAGTTTCCATTCTTTCTTTAAAAGACACCAAATATCTGTAACATGTAATACTTTTCAGTTGCCCTGAAGCACAAATTTGAACTGAAGACCAGGAGGCTGGTATGCAAGAGTGAGTACTTACTAAGTGGATCTAGCCTCCTGTCCAGTGTTCTTCCTCAACTTGGACTTGTTATTTTTTACTTATTTCAATGTATACATTTTATTGAGGAGAACTGGGTGATATGGTGTTATTTATTTGTGAATTTCAAGGGTATTACAGGTGATGAGAGGGGCTGAAATGAAGGGTTCACCTCCTATACAGGGTATATAAATAAAAGTTTGGTTAGCTACCATTTGAGAGAAGCCCAAGCATTTTCCTAGACCTTAGCACTTACAGAACTCGGCCACTAAATGGAGGGTTCACCACACACACATATTGCACCTATCAAGTTCTATATGTTGGGTCCACGGTAAACCAATATGACATTTCAATTCCCAGAGTTACTTACTTCAATGAATGAAATGGAATTAACCTAAGATGTGCTACACTAATTGCCCCTTGTTCCTTTCACGTTTACTGCCATCCCATCATACTAATAATTCACAGATTTTTGACCTCCTTCATGACTATTGTTGTGCTGGAAAACCTTACCTGTCTCTGCTACCGCCCAAGACATATTTTCTTTATTAGCTGCCAAAACTGGTAAGAATTTGGGGTCCATATTGATGAATTAAACACTATTGTCTAATGCATCCTAAATATTTTCCTTGGCATCCCAGGAGAACTCACATTAGGTACAGTTAATATAAAAGAATGGAGAGAGAAAAGATGTTCTTCCTTATTCATTCTAACATCAACTGTTCTACTCCCAAATGAATAGCAGATGGAAGTTTGAATGTGAAAACTTAATTTCAACAGACATTTCAAGATAAATTCCTGAATGAATGTCCTTGAAGATTCTTCAAGGCCTGCCCTCATAGATATGAATACAATTGTTTTCTTGAAACAAAAGAAGACAATATGTTAGAAATACAAAAATCATGATGGCTTTCAAGTCTCCAGAACTTACCCAACATTAGTTGATCATAGCCTGAATAAATGGGTGGGACGGCAAAGGGGTCCCAGAAAGAGAGCTCTCCCTCTCTCTCCATTTTGTCCTTTTGCTTCACTTGGCTTTTCTTTTATTCTTTCTTTTCTCTCTGTTGATTCCCTATAAAGGGCTCATATAGACACTTACCATCACAGGGTATAAGACTTTAGAGCAGAAAGAGACCTTATAAATTACCTTGGCCAAAGCCTTCCTAAATCCTTACCCAGCTTCACTCAGCTAGTTGTTGATATGCCTATAGCCTAAATGCAAATCTCCTTGTTCCCAGATAAGGGTCGTCAGCATACAGAAATATAGAAAATGGCAAATGACATTAAGTCCTAAGTCAAAATGAGGCATAATTAAGATGATGATTCACCAACATAATTCCGATCCAGCAGCCACAATTTACTTTTGTTTGTTTGTTTGTTTGAAGGGATAATTTATTACAGTAAAAATGATCCTTTTTAGTGTACAGTCTGTGAGTTTTGACAAATGTATATAGTAATGTGACTACCCCATCAAACTCAACATATAGAACCATTCAATCATCCTAAAAAAATTCCCCAATTCCCTTTGGCCCCAGCCCCTAGAACTACTCATTTGTTTTCTGTCTCTATAGTTTTGATTGTTCCAGAATGTCCTATAAATGGAATCACACAGTATGCAGCCTTTGAGCCTGGCCTCTTCCTCTTAGCATAATGTGTTTGAAATGCATCCATGTTGTTGCATGTATCAACGGTTTGGTCCTTTTTATGATTTACTTTTTTAATAGTATACGTTTAAATCAGAGAAAAAATTGACAATGCTATAATTATAACCACAAATTCCATTACAAATGCCAAAAATAAATTTAAGTCCAAGATATGGATTTACAATAAGGAAAATACCCAAAGTAAGTTATTTAAATAATACCAATTTGCTGTTATTCCTTACATGTGATAATGAAAAAAGCATATAAATTTAACATTTTTCTACTAATTTTTAATAAATAGCTGATAGATACCCCATCTTGAGTTCTAGCTATTCTAATTCTATAACTTGATCACAAAATCATATTTAGATTAGAAAACAAAATAGCTTGCCCTGCTCCTAACTCTTATGATTAACTATCTTCACAAACAAGTAGGGAATTTTTTTGTCAAATACTGTATAAGCTCTTTTGGCTATAACTCATAAAACAATGCATCAAGATTGGCATTATGATACATTACATGCAGAATCAGCTTGGTAGTACTCTTCACTGTCAAGTAAGAAATTGCAAAGATAAATGAACCTTGGAAATTTCAAGATCTGGAATGTGATGCCAGCTGGTACATGGAAGAAGTAAATTCAATCAGGCTACCTGATGTTTCTTGTTTCTGCCTAGAGCAGGGCAGTTTTTAAGCTTGTAAGGAGACCCAGTTTGTCCTTGTCCGTCTCATGCTTTGAGGGGAAAAAGGGCTCTTTAACTCTGTTGAGAAAAAAAAAAAAAGAAAAATATGTAAGTTGAGGAAACTTTACAGCAGGTCTAATACAGTGAATTTTGAAGATTGAAGAAGAATTTTGACAAATGATTTTAACAATTATGGTTTAACATATAGGAAGGCTGATAGTGTACAAGGGCTAGTTTCTAAAAGTAGAGATGTATTTTTAAAACCTGTCTAGTTTTTTTTAACCCTCTACTTTTTATTTTCACCAAAATAAGAAAACAGAATCTCAGATATTTGAAGGAACTGCTTCTCTGTTCTATCAAGAATTTTAATTAATCTTAAATCTTTTTTTACATTTTCTCCAAAATTCATCTGCATGAGAAACATGTATTAGCCACCTATTCTGCAGTGAGTGCTGCACTGAATGTTTGAGATACCAACTTAAATAAGACACACTCCCTCCTTCAGGGGCCTTAAGTTTCCAGAACATAAAAGTGCTGAAAACCAAATCACAAATATCAGTCTATCCTCTTACAGAATCATGTGTTGATAGTATGTAATGTGACTTCAAGAATGGTGTGAAGGAAGGAAGCAGAGCAAGATGGCTGAATAGAAGCCTCCACTAATTGTCCCCCCTGCAGGAACATCAAATTTAACAAATATCTACATGAAAAAGCACTTTCATAAACACCAAAAATCAGGTGAGTGATTGCATTACCTGGATTTAACTTCATATCACTGAAAGAAGCACTGAAGAGGGTAGGAAAGACCATCTTGAATTGCCAATACCACCATTCCCCCATCCCCTGGCAGCGGCCATGTGGCATGGTGAAAGAAGCTATGCACTTGGGGAAGCAAGAGCATATTCTGTGAGGCCAGTATTACCCTGATGCCAAAACCAGACAAAGACACATCAAAAATAGAAAATTAGAGCCCAATATCCCTGATGAACATTGATGTAAAAATTCTCAACAAAACACCAGCAAACCAATTTCAACAACACATTAAAAACATTATCCCTCATGACCAAGTGGGATTTATTCCAGACATGCAAGCATGGCTCAACATATGCAAATCAATCAGTATGATACATCATATCAACAGAATGAAGGGCAAAAACTATGTGATCATCGTTTGAAGCTGAAAAAGCATTTGATTAAATTCAATATCCCTTCACAATAAACACCCTCAAAAACTGGGTATAAAAGGAACATAGTCCAACATAATAAAAACCATATAGCTCAGACCCACAGCTAGTATCACACTGGATTGAGAAAAACTGAAAGCCTTTCCTCTAAGATCTAGACCACTGTTACTCCATACTGTTCTAGAATTCCTAGCTAGAGCAATCAGAAAAGAGAAAGAAATAAAGAGCATCCAAATTAGAAAAGAAGTCAAATTATTTTTGTTTGCAGATGATATTATGGATTTTAAAATTTATATTTGGAAAAAAATAAAGATTCCAACAAAAAAGTATTAGAATTGATTTTAAAAATCAGAAAAGTTGCCAGACACAAAATTGACATACAAAAATCAGTAGCATTTCTACATGCCAACAGCAAACAATCTGAAAAAAAAGAAATCAAGAAAGTAATCCCATTTATAATAGCTACAACTAAAATTAAATACCTAGGAATTAACCAAAGAAGTGAAAGATCTCGAAAGTGAAAACTGTAAAATATTGATCCAACAAATTGAACAGGACACCAAATTATAAAAAGATATTTCATGTTCATATATTGAAAGAATTAATAATTTTAAAATGTCCATACTACCCAAAGCAATATACAGACTCAATGCAATCCCTATCAAAATGCCAATGACATTCTTCACAGAAAAAAAGATCCTGTAATTTATATGGAGCCATAAAATACCCAGAATAGCTATCCTGAGGAAAAACAACAAAACTAGAGCAATCATATTACTTGACTTCAAATTATGCTACAGAGATATAGTAACCAAAACAGCATGGTACTGCCATAAAAACAGACACATAAACCAATGCAACAGAATAAAGAACCCAAAAACAAATTCATACATCGATAGCAAACTCATTTTGGACAAAGGTACCAAGAACATTCACTGGGAAAGGACAGTCTCCAACAAATGTTGCTGGGAAAACCAGATATCCATATGCAGAAGGATGAAACTAGACCCCTATCTCTCGCCATATAAAAAAAGCAACTTAAAATTGATTAAAGACTTAAATCGAAGACATCAAACTATGAAAGTACTACAAGATAACTTTAGGGAAATTCTCTAGAACATTGGACTGGGCAATGATTTCTTGAGTTATACCCTGCTAGCACAGGTAATCCAAGCAAAGATGGACAAATAGGATCACATCAAATTAAAAAGCCTCTGCACGAAGAAGGAAACAATCAACAAAGTGAACAGACAATTTACAGAATGGGAGAAAATATTTGCAAACGTCCCACCTGACAAGGGATTAATAATCAGAATATAAGGATCACAAACAACTCTAAAGAAAAAAAATCTAATAATTCGATCAAAAAACGGGCAAAAGATTTGAATAAGCATGCTCAAAAGAAAACATACAAATAGCAAATATGTATATGGAAATGTGCTCAACATCACTGATAATCAGAAAAATGCAAATAAAAGTTGCAATGAGATATTATCTTGCCCCAGGGAACATGGAAAAGGCAGAGCAAGATACTGGAATGGAAGGATCCACTAATTGTCTCCACAGCAAGGACACCAATTAAACAACTATCTAGAGAAAAAAGCACCTTCATACAAACCAAAAATCAGGTGAGCACTCACAGTATCTGATTTTAACTTTTTATGGCTAAAAGACACACTGAAAAGGTAAAAAAAAAAAAAAAAAAAAAAAAGTCTTGAATTGCTGACACCACCCCACCCCAATTCCCAGGCATAGGTGACATGGTGCAAAGAGCATTTCTGTGCCCAGGGGCAGGGAGAGCACAGCAATTGTGAGACATTGAACTCAGTGCTGTCCTGTTCGAGCAGAAAGGAAAACCGAACCAAACTCAGCTGACACCCACCCACTGAGGGAGCATTTAAACCAGCCCTAGCCAGAGGGGAATCTCTGATCCAGCAGTCTGAACTTGAGTTCCCGCAAGCCTCACCACCAGGGCTAAAGTGCTATTGGCTCTAAATAAATGTGAAATACAGTCTAGGCCACAAGGACTGCAACACCTAGGGGAATTCTAATGATGTCATGGCCACAGCCACTGGACTGAGGAGTGTATGACCTACTGAGACACCAGCTGGAGTGGCTAATGGAATGCTGGCATCACCCCTCCCCTAACCCCAGGCGGCACAACTCACAGCTCCAAAAGAGATGCCTTCCTTCCACTTGAGGAGAGGAGAGGGAAGAGTGAGGAGGACTTTGTGTTACATCTTGGATATCAGCTTAACCATAGCAAGATATGGCACTGGCCAATTTGTGAGGCTCCTATTCCAGGCTCTAACTCCCAGATGAAATTTCTAGACACAACCTGGGCCAGGAAAAAAACAAAAACAAAAACAAAAAACATTCCTTGAAGGGAAACACAGTCCTGGTAGCATTCATCACCTGCTAATTGAAGAACCCTTGGGCCCTGAATACCCAGCAGTAATACCCAGGTACTGCATTGAGGGCCTTGGTGAGCCTCTGCAAATTGCTGACTCCAGGTGAGGCTCAGTACATTATTAGCTGTGGTGGCAAAGGGGCAAAACTTCTGCTTGGGAAAAGCAGAGGGAAAAGTTAAGGGAATTTTGACTTACACCTTACGTACCAGCACTGAGACTGAGGTGTAGAGCACCAAGTGGGCTCTTGGGGTCACCAATTCCAGAATTTGACTCTTAGATGGCATTTCTGGACCTGCCCTGGGCAGAGGGGCGTCCACTGCCCAAAGGGTGAGTCCCAGGCCAGGCAGCACCAGTCTTGAATTGCTGACACCACCCCACCACCCTCTGATTTAAGAGCCCTTAGGGATTAAAGGAACATCAGCAGTAGTCTGGCAGTACTCCCCATGGCCTGTGGTGGCAGTGGCTACAGAGTGAGGATCTTTTGCCTTTGGAAAAGAGAGAGAAGAATGGGAAAGAACATATCTTGTGGTTTCAGTGCCAGCTCAGCTACAGTACAACAGAACACTAGGTAGACTTCTAAGGTTTTTTACTCTAATCCCTGACTCCCAGACAGCACCTTTGGACTCGCCTGGGACCTGGGTATTTACTGCCCTGAAGGAAGGACACAGGCCTGGCTGGCTTCGCCACTGACTGAGTGTAGAGCCCCAGATCCTTGAGCATAGGCAGTGGCCAGGGAGTGGTTACAGCAGGCCTTGGATGAGACCCAGTACTGTGCTGGCTTCAGGTCTGGCCCAACACAGTCATAGTGGTGGTGGCCACAGCGGGGCGTGTGTCATTCCATCCCCAGCTCTAGGTGGCTCAGAACGGAGAGAGATTCCATTTGTTTGGGAGAACGTAGGGGTAGAGAACAAGAGTCTCTGCCTGGTAATCCAGAGAACTCCCTGTAATTGTGGTTTATAAGCTACTCTTTTCCTAAGTAGGAAGACTAAAAGATGAACCAATAAAAAATAATAACCACAACAACTTTTCAAGACATAGTACAGTAAGATATAAATAGAAACAACAATATGTTAAAAAGCAAGGAAATGGAGTTAAGACAGAGTTTTTATTAGTTTTCTTGTTGCTTGTTTATGCAAACAGAGGTAAGTTGTTATCAGGTTAAAATAATGGGTTATAAGATAGTACTTGCAAGTCTCATGGTAACCTGAAATCAAAAAACATACAACAGATCCAAAAAAAAAAAAAAATCAAGAAACCAAATCATATCACCAAAGAAAAACACCTCCACCAAAAAAAGAAGACAGGAAGGAAAGAAAGAAGAAAGAGAAAACCATAAAACAGTCAGGAAACAGATAACAAAATGGCAGGAGTAAGTCCCTACTTATCAATAATAACATTGATTGTAAAAAGACTAAACTCTCCAATCAAGACACAGACTGGCTGAATGGATAAATAACAATACCCATTGATCTATTGCCTACAA